GCTCCTGTGATGGAGGAGGTGCTGCTCTGCTCCTGTGATGGAGGAGGTGCTGCTCTGCTCCTCCTGTGATGGAGGAGGTGCTGCTCTGCTCCTCCTGTGATGGAGGAGGTGCTGCTCTGCTCCTCCTGTGATGGAGGAGGTGCTGCTCTGCTCCTCCTGTGATGGAGGAGGTGCTGCTCTGCTCCTGTGATGGAGGAGGTGCTGCTCTGCTCCTGTGATGGAGGAGGTGCTGCTCTCCTCCTGTGATGGAGGAGGTGCTGCTCTGCTCCTCCTGTGATGGAGGAGGTGCTGCTCTGCTCCTCCTGTGATGGAGGAGGTGCTGCTCTGCTCCTGTGATGGAGGAGGTGCTGCTCTCCTCCTGTGATGGAGGAGGTGCTGCTCTGCTCCTCCTGTGATGGAGGAGGTGCTGCTCTCCTCCTGTGATGGAGGAGGTGCTGCTCTGCTCCTGTGATGGAGGAGGTGCTGCTCTGCTCCTCCTGTGATGGAGGAGGTGCTGCTCTGCTCCTCCTGTGATGGAGGAGGTGCTGCTCTCCTCCTGTGATGGAGGAGGTGCTGCTCTGCTCCTGTGATGGAGGAGGTGCTGCTCTGCTCCTGTGATGGAGGAGGTGCTGCTCTGCTCCTGTGATGGAGGAGGTGCTGCTCTGCTCCTGTGATGGAGGAGGTGCTGCTCTGCTCCTCCTGTGATGGAGGAGGTGCTGCTCTGCTCCTGTGATGGAGGAGGTGCTGCTCTGCTCCTGTGATGGAGGAGGTGCTGCTCTCCTCCTGTGATGGAGGAGGTGCTGCTCTGCTCCTCCTGTGATGGAGGAGGTGCTGCTCTGCTCCTCCTGTGATGGAGGAGGTGCTGCTCTCCTCCTGTGATGGAGGAGGTGCTGCTCTGCTCCTCCTGTGATGGAGGAGGTGCTGCTCTGCTCCTCCTGTGATGGAGGAGGTGCTGCTCTGCTCCTGTGATGGAGGAGGTGCTGCTCTGCTCCTGTGATGGAGGAGGTGCTGCTCTGCTCCTGTGATGGAGGAGGTGCTGCTCTGCTCCTGTGATGGAGGAGGTGCTGCTCTGCTCCTCCTGTGATGGAGGAGGTGCTGCTCTGCTCCTGTGATGGAGGAGGTGCTGCTCTCCTCCTGTGATGGAGGAGGTGCTGCTCTGCTCCTGTGATGGAGGAGGTGCTGCTCTGCTCCTGTGATGGAGGAGGTGCTGCTCTGCTCCTGTGATGGAGGAGGTGCTGCTCTGCTCCTCCTGTGATGGAGGAGGTGCTGCTCTGCTCCTGTGATGGAGGAGGTGCTGCTCTGCTCCTGTGATGGAGGAGGTGCTGCTCTGCTCCTGTGATGGAGGAGGTGCTGCTCTGCTCCTGTGATGGAGGAGGTGCTGCTCTGCTCCTCCTGTGATGGAGGAGGTGCTGCTCTGCTCCTGTGATGGAGGAGGTGCTGCTCTCCTCCTGTGATGGAGGAGGTGCTGCTCTGCTCCTCCTGTGATGGAGGAGGTGCTGCTCTCCTCCTGTGATGGAGGAGGTGCTGCTCTGCTCCTGTGATGGAGGAGGTGCTGCTCTGCTCCTCCTGTGATGGAGGAGGTGCTGCTCTGCTCCTGTGATGGAGGAGGTGCTGCTCTCCTCCTGTGATGGAGGAGGTGCTGCTCTGCTCCTGTGATGGAGGAGGTGCTGCTCTGCTCCTGTGATGGAGGAGGTGCTGCTCTGCTCCTGTGATGGAGGAGGTGCTGCTCTGCTCCTGTGATGGAGGAGGTGCTGCTCTGCTCCTGTGATGGAGGGCGTGTGCCAGACAGTCAGCTCTAATTAAAGGCAGCAGACCTATTTAGCTAAATGAGGAGGAGATGAAAGCCCAGAGAGACGCTCCACTTTACCTCCATCAGGAGGAGGAGGGAGGAGGAGAACAACAGGCATTCAAAGCTCCTGATGGAGGCCAGGGCTCCTCTGGTTCCCTCTAAAGCAGGAGGACGGGTTATCCAGAGGCTCCGCCCCCTTTGAGGAAGAGCCAAAGCACCCTCTGATCTACAGGACTTCCTGGTCCAACAGTTGCTTCTCCTGGGTCATAGAGGGGGGGGGCTGCATCCTGTGATGCGTCATCGTAAGGCCGTCCTACGCGCTCGTCCCGTCAGCCATGTTTTCTTTCAGGCGTATATCCGTGGTGAGCTACTGTTTCAGCTCACCTTTCTCACCGCGCTGCTTAAAAAATGACCGACGGTGAGAGGAGGACAAAGTTTCTACGACGGGAAGATTTGCTGTCACAGCGGCCCGCTGTCGCCATAGGCTGTCGCTACCCTACAGCGGCGACTAATAAAGATGGCGCAGGCGGTGGAGGAGGAGTTACGTGACCAACAGAGCAAAAAGCAGTGATCATCTGTTTGAACGGTCCGTTCACTGAGTTCACTATAGAGTTCACTATAGAGTCCCCGCTCTATAGTGATGGAGGGGTCAGAGGTCAGACACAGCTGCTATGAGAGCAGCAACCATTAAACAGAGCGAGCTCGTGCACGCTCTCGGATGTGCACTTTTTTTTTTTAAAAAGGTGCAGACAGCGGATCTGAGAGAAAATCCTCCGCTGTACCTTTAAGATCTGATAAAGTGACGCCTTGCTGCTCATCATGGTTCCCTCCATCAGAACCCTCCTCCATCAGAACCCTCCTCCATCAGAACCCTCCGCCATCAGAACCCTCCGCCATCAGAACCCTCCTCCATCGGAACCCTCCGCCATCGGAACCCTCCGCCATCGGAACCCTCCGCCATCTGAACCCGCCTCCATCGGAACCCTCCGCCATCGGAACCCTCCTCCATCGGAACCCTCCTCCATCGGAACCCTCCTCCATCGGAACCCTCCGCCATCGGAACCCTCCGCCATCAGAACCCTCCGCCATCAGAACCCTCCGCCATCAGAACCCTCCGCCATCAGAACCCTCCGCCATCAGAACCCTCCGCCATCTGAACCCGCCTCCATCGGAACCCTCCGCCATCGGAACCGTCCGCCATCAGAACCCGCCTCCATCTGAACCCGCCTCCATCGGAACCCTCCTCCATCGGAACCGTCCGCCATCTGAACCGTCCGCCATCTGAACCCCCCTCCATCTGAACCCTCCTCCATCAGAACCCTCCTCCATCAGAACCCTCCGCCATCAGAACCCTCCTCCATCAGAACCCTCCTCCATCTGAACCCTCCTCGTTCAGAACCCTCCGCCATCAGAACCCTCCGCCATCAGAACCCTCCTCCATCAGAACCCTCCTCCATCTGAACCCTCCTCCATCTGAACCCTCCGCCATCAGAACCCTCCACCATCTGAACCCGCCTCCATCAGAACCCTCCTCCATCAGAACCCTCCGCCATCAGAACCGTCCGCCATCAGAACCCTCCGCCATCTGAACCCGCCTCCATCTGAACCCGCCGCCATCTGAACCCTCCGCCATCTGAACCCTCCGCCATCTGAACCCTCCGCCATCTGAACCCTCCTCCATCAGAACCCTCCACCATCTGAACCCTCCACCATCTGAACCCGCCTCCATCTGAACCCTCCTCCATCAGAACCCTCCACCATCTGAACCCTCCACCATCTGAACCCGCCTCCATCTGAACCCTCCTCCATCTGAACCCGCCTCCATCTGAACCCGCCGCCATCTGAACCCGCCGCCATCTGAACCCGCCTCCATCTGAACCCGCCTCCATCTGAACCCTCCACCATCTGAACCCGCCTCCATCTGAACCCGCCTCCATCTGAACCCGCCTCCATCTGAACCCGCCTCCATCTGAACCCGCCGCCATCTGAACCCGCCACCATCTGAACCCGCCTCCATCAGAACCCTCCACCATCTGAACCCGCCTCCATCTGAACCCTCCTCCATCTGAACCCGCCTCCATCTGAACCCGCCGCCATCTGAACCCGCCTCCATCTGAACCCGCCTCCATCTGAACCCGCCTCCATCAGAACCCTCCACCATCTGAACCCTCCACAATCTGAACCCGCCTCCATCTGAACCCGCCTCCATCTGAACCCTCATCCATCTGAACCCGCCGCCATCTGAACCCTCCGCCATTTGAACCCTCCGCCATCTGAACCCTCCGCCATCTGAACCCTCCACCATCTGAACCCTCCTCCATCTGAACCCTCCGCCATCTGAACCCCCTGCCATCTGAACCCGCCGCCATCTGAACCATCCTCCATCTGAACCCTCCGCCATCTGAACCCTCCGCCATCTGAACCCGCCGCCATCTGAACCCGCCGCCATCAGAACCCGCCGCCATCAGAACCCGCCGCCATCAGAACCCGCCGCCATCAGAACCCGCCGCCATCTGAACCCGCCGCCATCTGAACCCGCCGCCATCTGAACCCGCCGCCATCTGAACCCTCCTCCATCAGAACCCTCCTCAATCAGAACCCGCCGCCATCAGAACCCTCCACCATCTGAACCCGCCTCCATCTGAACCCTCCTCCATCAGAACCCTCCTCAATCAGAACCCGCCGCCATCAGAACCCTCCGCCATCCTCCTAAGCGCTAGTCTAGATTCCGTCTGAGACGCATAGAGGGACTGGTTCTGCTGGACCCAACAGAACCAGGACCTAGGATCACCGGACTGTGAGAGACGACTGGGCCAGAACCTGTTCCACCAAACAGAACCTGATCCAACAGAAGCAGGTCAGAACCAAACAGAACCGCTGGTCTCAGCCTGCAGACAGGAAGTGTTAGAGAGGCACTTTCTGATGGGGGGGGGGCAGTAACAAGGACTTCCTGTTCAATATGTCCAAGCTGAACAGAACCCACAGGACTCAGTGGTTCTGACCCGGTTCTACCAATCCGATTCTCCTGTCAGCATCATCATCATCAGAACCGGATCACAGTCATTTATCCAACATCAGACCAGAACCTGAGGAGGTCAGAGTGACGCTGCTGCAACCTGAAACCGGACCGGACTAGCCTGCAGAGGAGGGAGGAAGGCAGCAGGCCGACCCCACAGGAAGCCCCGCCCCCATAGGAAGCCCCGCCCCCACAGGAAGCCCCGCCCCTTCTTACCCCTGGCTGACAGCTTCTTGGTGTTGATGATCTTGGCGGCGTACTCGTGTCCCGTGGAGATCTTCATGCACCTCTTCACCACAGAGAAGGCTCCCCTGGAGGAGACAGAGATTGATAGCCGGGTCAGAACCAGAACCACTCAGAACCAGAACCAGAACCAGTCAGAACCAGAACCACTCAGAACCAGAACAGCAGCTGGTTCTGGACAGGAAAGGATTGGTGGATCAGAGTCTATCAATTCATCCTCCATCCATCCATCCTCCATCCATCATCCATCCATCCTCCATCCATCCATCCTCCATCCATCATCCATCCATCCTCCATCCATCCATCCTCCATCCATCATCCATCCATCCATCATCCATCCATCATCCATCCATCCATCATCCATCCATCCATCCATCATCCATCATCCATCCATCCATCCATCCATCCATCCATCATCCATCATCCATCCATCCTCCATCCATCCATCCTCCATCCATCATCCATCCATCCATCATCCATCCATCCATCATCCATCCATCCATCCATCATCCATCATCCATCCATCCATCCATCCATCCATCCATCATCCATCCATCCATCCATCCATCCATCCATCATCCATCCATCCATCCATCATCCATCCATCCATCATCCATCCATCCATCCATCATCCATCATCCATCCATCATCCATCCATCCATCATCCATCCATCCATCATCCATCCATCATCCATCCATCCATCCATCCATCCATCCATCCATCCATCATCCATCCATCCATCATCCATCCATCCATCATCCATCCATCATCCATCCATCATCCATCCATCATCCATCCATCCATCCTCCATCCATCATCCATCCATCCATCCATCCATCATCCATCCATCATCCATCCATCCATCCATCCTCCATCCATCCATCATCCATCCATCCTCCATCCATCATCCATCCATCCTCCATCCATCATCCATCCATCATCCATCCATCCTCCATCCATCCATCCATCCTCCATCCATCATCCATCCATCATCCATCATCCATCCATCCATCCATCCATCCTCCATCCATCCTCCATCCATCATCCATCCATCCTCCATCCATCCATCCATCATCCATCCATCATCCATCCATCATCCATCCATCATCCATCCATCTATCAATCCTCCATCCATCATCCATCATCCATCCATCCATCCATCAATCCATCCATCATCCATCCATCATCCATCATCCATCCATCCATCATCCATTCATCCATCCATCCATCATCCATCATCCATCCATCATCCATCATCCATCCATCCTCCATCCATCCATCCATCCATCCATCCATCATCCATCCATCCATCATCCATCATCCATCATCCATCATCCATCCATCATCCATCATCCATCATCCATCATCCATCATCCATCCATCATCCATCATCCATCCATCCATCATCCATCCATCCATCATCCATCCATCCATCATCCATCATCCATCATCCATCATCCATCCATCCATCATCCATCCATCCATCATCCATCCATCCATCATCCATCATCCATCCTCCATCCATCATCCATCATCCATCCATCATCCATCCATCATCCATCCATCATCCATCCATCATCCATCCATCCATCATCCATCCATCCATCATCCATCCATCATCCATCCATCCATCCATCCTCCATCCATCATCCATCCATCATCCATCATCCATCCTCCATCCATCATCCATCTATCAATCCTCCATCCATCCTCCATCCTCCATCCATCATCCATCATCCATCCATCCTCCATCATCCATCATCCATCATCCATCCTCCATCCATCATCCATCCATCCATCATCCATCCATCCATCATCCATCTATCAATCCTCCATCCATCCTCCATCATCCATCCATCATCCATCCTCCATCCATCATCCATCATCCATCATCCATCCATCCATCCATCATCCATCATCCATCCATCATCCATCATGCATCCATCATCCATCATCCATCCATCATCCATCCATCATCCATCCATCCATCATCCATCCATCCTCCATCCATCCATCATCCATCCATCCTCCATCCATCCATCATCCATCCATCCATCATCCATCCATCATCCATCATCCATCATCCATCCATCATCCATCCATCCTCCATCCATCATCCATCATGCATCCATCATCCATCATCCATCCATCATCCATCCATCCATCATCCATCCATCCATCATCATCCATCATTCATCCATCATCAATCCATCATCCATCATCATCATCCATCCACATCCATCATCCATCATCCATCATCCATCATCCATCTCATCCATCCATCGTCCTTCATCATCATCCATCATCCATCATCCATCATCCATCATCATCCATCATCCATCATCATCCATCCATCCATCATCCATCATCCATCCATCATCCATCCATCCATCCATCCATCCATCATCCATCCATCATCCATCCATCATCCATCCATCCATCCATCATCCATCCATCATCCATCATCCATCATCCATCCATCCATCCATCCATCATCCATCCATCCATCATCCATCCATCCATCATCCATCCATCATCCATCCATCATCCATCCATCCATCCATCATCCATCCATCCATCCATCATCCATCCATCCATCCATCCATCATCCATCCATCATCATCCATCCATCATCCATCCATCATCCATCCATCATCCATCCATCATCCATCATCCATCCATCATCCATCCATCATCCATCCATCATCCATCATCCATCCATCCATCCATCCATCATCCATCCATCATCCATCCATCCATCATCCATCCATCATCCATCCATCCATCATCCATCCATCCATCCATCATCCATCATCCATCCATCCATCATCCATCCATCCATCATCCATCCATCCATCCATCCATCATCCATCCATCATCCATCCATCCATCCATCATCCATCCATCATCCATCCATCCATCCATCATCCATCCATCCATCATCCATCATCCATCCATCATCCATCCATCATCCATCCATCATCCATCCATCCATCCATCATCCATCATCCATCCATCATCCATCCATCCATCCATCATCCATCCATCATCCATCAATCCATCATCCATCCATCCATCCATCATCCATCATCCATCCATCCATCATCCATCATCCATCATCCATCCATCCATCCATCATCCATCCATCATCCATCCATCCATCATCCATCCATCCATCATCCATCATCCATCCATCCATCCATCATCCATCATCCATCATCCATCCATCATCCATCCATCATCCATCATCCATCCATCCATCCATCATCCATCATCCATCCTCCATCCATCCATCCATCCATCATCCATCCATCCTCCATCCATCCATCCATCATCCATCATCATCCATCCATCCATCATCCATCCATCATCCATCCATCATCCATCCATCCATCATCCATCATCCATCCATCATCCATCCATCCATCCATCATCCATCCATCCATCATCCATCCATCCATCATCCATCCATCCATCATCCATCCATCCATCATCCATCCATCATCCATCCATCCATCATCCATCCATCCATCATCCATCCATCCATCATCCATCCATCATCCATCCATCCATCATCCATCCATCCATCATCCATCCATCATCCATCATCCATCCATCCATCATCCATCCATCATCCATCATCCATCCATCCATCATCCATCCATCCATCATCCATCCATCATCCATCCATCCATCATCCATCATCCATCCATCATCCATCCATCCATCATCCATCATCCATCCATCCATCATCCATCATCCATCCATCCATCATCCATCCATCATCATCCATCCATCATCCATCCATCCATCCATCATCCATCCATCCATCATCACCATCCATCATCATCCATCATCCATCCATCCATCATCCATCCATCCATCATCCATCCATCCATCAATCCATCATCCATCCATCATCCATCCATCCATCAACCATCAATCCATCCATCATCCATCAATCCATCATCCCATCCATCCATCATCCATGATGAATGAATGAATTATTAATGAATGATGATGAATGAATGAATGAATGAATTAATGAATGATGAGAGAGGGGGGGGGGGGGGGGGGGGGAAGGTGGAAATGAATGATGAATGAATGATGAATGGAATGATGAAATGAATGAATTGATGAATGATGAATGAATGAATGATGATGAATGAAGAATGATGAATATGAAATGATGAATGAATTGAAGAATGATTAATGAAAAATACATGATTAAGAATGAAATGATGAATGTAATGAATGATTTAATGATTAAACATTGAATGAAAAAGCAATAAGAATAGATCATTATTAAATCAATATACATCCATCCATACATAATCAATCATATCCATTCCATCATCCATCAGCCATCCATCATCCATCTCCATCTCCTTCCATCATACATAATTCCATCCCACATCCATCCCATCATGCCATTCATCCATCCAGCATCCATCATCCACCATCATCCATCATCCATCCATCATCCATCATCCATCCATCCATCCATCCATCCATCCATCATCCATCATCCATCCATCATCCATCATCCTCCATCATCCATCCATCCTTCCATCATCCATCATCCATCATCCCATGCCCATCATCCATCCATCATCCATCCAGCATCCATCATCCATCCATCCACCATCCATCATCCATCCGCATCATCCATCCATCCATCATCCACCATCATCCCATCCACCATCATCCCATCCATCATCCATACATCCATCATCCCATCATCCATCCATCATCCATCCATCCATCATCCATCCATCCATCCATCCATCATCCATCCATCATCCATCCATCCATCCATCATCCATCCATCATCCATCCATCCATCCATCATCCATCCATCCATCATCCATCATCCATCCATCATCCATCCATCATCCATCCATCATCATCCATCCATCCATCATCCATCATCCATCCATCATCCATCCATCCATCCATCCATCCATCCATC